TACATTATAGATAATATAGTATGATATGTTGAACACTGATATGAGATATTATACCTAAAGGAGTAAAGCGGTCCATTACGCAAGGATTGAACGAGTCAAGCAAGTTGAACGAGCCGTCTTGGTCAAACAGAATCAAGTAGAGTGGTTGTGGTCGAACACCACGAAAATATGGCACTGGGGATTTCAGTGCGAGGAGAACAAGTTGGTCCCAGGTCCACGAAGGATCTGGTCGAAGATCGACCTGTCGAGCAAAGGGTCATTTGATCGACCACTTCATAGACTAAGAGCAGGCGGGGGATTGACTTAGACTGGATTGAATAGTAGAGCCTTCGAGGAGATACTATCCATAAAATCCTCAACTCCCATGCCTTTCAAAATGAAAATATTTAAGATTTTGAATTACATACTCAATATAATTTATTATTTATTTGTATTGATCACATTTTGCATTTAGATATGTACTCATTTATGTGTGATAAAGGGCGATAAATTATATCATTAGACAATGGCCAAAATCGGGCTTTGTCACGGTCAGGCCCAGCCCGCCGGGCCGCCGGGCTCGAAAAAACTGACCCAGACCCAACATAGACCTATACTCGTCTGGGTCAATGGCCCGGTTAACCGGGCGGGGTCCGTGTCCAGGCCGGGTCCGTCATTTTTCTAAAAAACAATAGAAAAAAATAAAAATAAAAAATAGAAAAGTGGGCCATCGACCTTGAAACGATGACCCTGAAACGGCCCGTCTGAAATCCAGTCCGGTCCCGGACCCGTGGTCAACGGATTTGACCGTGCCAGGTCTGGGCCGAGCAGCCCTTGGCCATGTCTATATATTATTGTATTATTACTATGTCCAAATCTGAAAATGGATTTGGCGTATACGAATTTCGCTTGCCGCATCAAGTGTTTAGATTTAGCCATAACATTTTATTGAATTCTTTTTAACCTCTCAAATATTCCATTATTTTAGCTTTTCAAAAACTTTCGTAAAAGTTCAGATATTGTGATAATCATTTGAAATTGGAAAGTCGAGTTTCGCTAATGTGCATATGTCGCCTATCTTTTTCATCGATCAATTACCAACCAAAACAATTATCGAGAATCGATAAATCATACAATATTTTATCCACTCATCCGTCCCTTCAAAAGTTCTGAATCAACTATACAGTACAATTCAAAATTCATCGTGGTTTTTTATTGAGTTAAAGCTTTTTATTATCGATAAAACTTTAATAAGGTAAAATATCAATTTCATTTGTACTTTTATAAGACATTTTTGTTAATTATAAAACTTTATATGTCAACGTTTTTCTATGTAAGATAAAATAAAATGTAAGTAGATGATAGAGAAAATAGAAATTTGCCAAGTATTTATAGTAAAGTTTTGATTTTTTTATGTTCTTTTCAATTTATAAACGTCTGTTGATCACGAAAATGAGCGGTTTCCCCCGACCAACCCCACGGCGGGCCCCGCCACGACGCAATCACCGCATCGCCGTCCCCCGCGTGACGCCAAACCCTGCTGACGTGGCTAAATTCTAACCTTTTGCTCTCTCACACCCCAACATTTTTAGAAAATTACAGCCCAACCCCCTTCGGGTGCAACAGAGTGGCCCTAGCACATCCGTTCGCGAGCAGTTGGTAGATCTGACGAGTCTCAGGCATCCTCGAGAACCAACGTGTAGATCTGTGCACCCCAGCTGTACCAAACGACTCGCAGTGACCCGACAGCGGCCCGAACATAGTCTGATAGCCTCCATGCGATGCGGTGCAACCGAGAACAGTCCAGCGAGGCCCTATGAGACGCAACTTGGACTTTGAGAAGCATGACTAGTCAATCACAATGGGATCCCGATCGACGAGCGACGTACAACCAAAGATGAAAAAGATGACGAGGTGTGAATAACTTCACATAACTATTCGTCTGACCTCGTCGGCCGTGTATGTCTATATATAGTCTGCTAATTTTTGAACGGTACGCGTTGAATATAACTTGTAGTTCTGCTGCGCTTAAGGTTAATTTGTAGATAGTCTGTGCATATTTTCGAAGTTCCTAACTAGTGTAGGCTAGTAACTATTATTATTATTACTATTATTATTATTATTATTATTATTATTATTATTATTATTATTATTATTATTATAAGTATCTCTAATTATAAGTATCTTGGAGAGTAAGTTATGAATTCAATATTATTATAAGAGATCTTGTCTTGTTGGACAAGATAGGAATAGGGTTTAGGAGTCTTATTTAAAAGACTCATTATCTATTGTTTTAGGTGGTTAATTATGTCTTAAGAATTATTGAACGAAATAATGATTTGATACCATGTTTATATGTTCTTGAGATTGAGATCTCATTAATATCGTCCCACTCGTACGCTTCCCTACATAACTAACCGATCCACAACAGCAGATGCAAAATTGTTAAAGTTGATAATGCCACCGTCCAAGCTGTCCAATCCTCAAAAGTCGAGTTTTACATAGATACAGGCCACGCCACCCTGTGCCCCTAGCTGACACGATTCATTTATTGTATTTTTACCTTTTTTGTATATAAATACGCCCACCCGGCAAGGAATACAAGATCAACAACAAAAAATATAAAAGACGTGGCCATATATAGTAAAACACACGATTAAACATAGTATTACTCGTAAAAATCATATATGACAACCCAAACCTGACATGTATATCTCCCATATCATAATATAGTTTCCATAATTCACTCTCCTCGTCGATTTCCATGTAGGTCGACAAAATCGGTGTCATTTTGTTTTTAGTATAATTATTTTTGTGGACATTTAATGTTGATATTTTATTATCTTTTTTATATACTAGTCTTAACACCCGTTTTAACAGCATGTTTAATCTAAATCCGTAACCGTTGGCAGTCGATCCTCAACAATTTATATTTTGTACAAAATAGCATAAAATATTATAATGTAGCTTTTTTGTTTCTTCTCATATAGTTTTTAATATAGGTTTGAACTATTTTCATTAACAACATAAGGTAGTTTATACAACAATTTGCAGCATCAAATAAATGAGTTTAATTGAATAAATTATGAGGTCGTCTTTTGAGACACTATATAAAATTAAATCGAAAATAAACATTATAATATTCATAACATATATGTTTTATTCTGTTGAGTCACAATGTAAATGAAAATGGATGAATTTAATTGGATAAATTATGAGGTCGTTTTTTTGAGTTACTATATAAATATTAAATTGAAAATAAAAATTATAATATTCATAATATATATGTTTTATTGGGCGAGTCACATTTTAAATAAATAACCTTTAATAATAGAAATTATTTATTTGTATTATACATATGTGCATCGCACAATACGTATATATTAGTACTAGTACAACACCAGTGTATTACACGGTTTCTTCCAAAATTATTTTTCTTAAAATTTAAAATTAATGTGAAAAATGTGGTTGAAAATTCAAATTTTTTTTACAAAAATATATATATTATAATATATTTTAGTATGTCACTTGTTACTTATGCGACTTACCTGTGTAATATTATAATAATTTTCAAACTTATAACATATAACCAAATTAAACATAAATGTATAAAATTGAGAAATAATTTTATTTTTTAATTTATTTTAATAAATAATTTTATTATTATTATAAAGATAATTATAATTTATTTATTTTATATATACAACATGGATGCCTAATCGAAGCTCATCAAAAGACGATTAATTTGGTATATCACATATGTAAAACTGATAAGAAATACAAAAGTTATCGACTTTAAAATACATTTACAATTCAATTGTTATAATATGAAATGATATTAAGATACAATTAATACATCTAAAATTATTGTAAATAAATTAACATATTTATGATAATCCGAACTTAATTATTTTAGGCTTAAAATTAAATTAAAATTTATCCAAGTCAAACAATGAAACATGAAATTCTGACACATAGGATCCCGAAACATGCGAGTCTGCCACTTAGGCTCAGCACATTCAGGAATTATATAAGGAGGATAGGAAAATGCTACGGTTCTGTCGAGTTTGTAACCGTTACATCATCCTAGTAACTGTCGGAGATAGCTGATCTAATAGTTACAAATTCCGATGAAATAGTTCAATAACGAGACCATAGCATGTATAATACGAAAAAGCAGATACGATAATAATTATAATTATTATATTATATTCATACAGCGAAAGGGAATAGTAATAAAGAAGTCTCCTTCCTCACATCTCCGTCGTCCGATCGCTCTTCTCTCCCTCTCAGATTTCTCCAAACTTCATCAGCCAATCCTCTCTCTCTCTCTCTCTCTCTCTCAGCGCGCCAAATACAAATCCTAGGTACAATCACCCCCTTTTTCTCACATACACGCACATACGCCTTTTTCTGTATTCTGTATGTTACATATTTTCTGATCATGTATGCATTTCTATGGCATCAAATGCATTTTTTTAGTTTTTTTTCAAGGTTGAATTGCAGTCGTTTGCTCCCCCCCTTTAGACCTTCCATTTTATATGGCGAGATCACCTTTTATGCTTTTCGTTCCTATTTTTGTACAATTTATGGAGTTAGGGTTTTATTTGTTGGTTGAGGTAGAAGGATGTCGGACAGTCCTGGTGGCTATGGCGTCGCCGGTGGAAGCGGCAGTCACGACAACGGCGGGGATGGCGGAGGTGATCAGAGCCCCAAGTCCAGCGTGCGCGAGCAGGATCGCTTCCTCCCAATTGCAAACATTGGCCGTATCATGAAGAAGGCCCTGCCTGCCAATGGCAAGATCGCCAAGGATGCCAAGGACACAGTTCAGGAATGCGTGTCCGAATTCATCAGCTTCGTCACCAGCGAGTATGCACTTCTCTTTTTCAATAGCTGTTTTATGTTTTGTGTACTTCACTTTCCAGGATTGACTTACTTTTTCTCCTGATTTTTGATAGTGATTACGTTCTGCCTCAAAAGTGGATTGAGTTCTTGTATTTACTTTGATTGGTTGTGGTTGATATTTTCTTTTACTTCTCTTGGCTAATTGTTGATTTCGGGAAACTCCTATTGAGGACTATAATTGGTTTGAAAGCTTGCCGATAAACTACCGTCGATGTAGCCAGATAATACTAGATTACTAGGAAGTACGGTTCTATGGATAGCGGGTCAGGCTTAGCTTGGGTACTAAGCCCGAAGGATGATCTGAGATTGGTCCTTAGGGTGATCTTTTCCATTCACCTTTGGCATATGTCTGCTTTGACTGGATCATGAGTTCGCTGCCCTCTGTTTTCTTATATATAGGCTTCTATTTATTGATGGTTCGGATCCAGCTCTTGACAGGGATCAGTGTGTGTGCATCAGTATATTTTTTATGCAGATAGAGTCGACTCCTAAGGGTTTTTGGGTTAAATGTTCAGTTTTGTGAAAAACACCGCATATATTTTCATTTTCCAGGTCTATTTGAAAAGCATAGATAGTTACCTATGGACGGGACCAGCTGTGGATTCATTTCGTTAATTGTGCTACATGCCTTGTTCTGTAACTGATTCGAGATCATTTGTGTTATGTCGGTAATTTATGCTGTCTAATTAGTAAAATGTATTTAATGTGTAATACTTACATTCACGCAGATTATATTCCACTAAGTTATATTGGAGTTCAACCAATTACGTTTGGATGGACATTAGCTGATCTTCCTTCATTATAGAGGCTTGATTGGTCTCAATCAGGACCTGATCACTTTAAATATTTTCTGTCCTTTCCATGGCTCATTAGTTTTTGATTTGTTGGAGTTTCTTAGCTTGCTCTTTCTATCAGGTTGAATTTTTTCTTTCATTTCTGGTTTATTCACTTCTCGAGTGATATTCCGCACATAATAAATATACACATGTGAAAAGCCATGACAGACGAGTAATCTAGTTTACGCCCTTGTAGTCTCTCTGTCCAGTGCTATTCCAGTGCAGTCTGTATATTAGCTGGAAGTGGGACAATTATCTTTATTGGATTCTTTGCTGAATTAGTAAAATGATTATTTTGATTTATTTTCTGATGTTGTCAAGTATGTATTATCTGTCCCTAACCTTTTTCATTTAGTTAAACCTCATTTAGTTAAACCAAATATCACTTAGTCGAGTATGTATTATCTGTCTCTGACCTTTCTCATTTTGTTAAAGCAAATTAAACGAAATGGGCCCTGAACATTGTAGGCTGAATCTTAATTAATTATTTGAAGTACCTTGATGCTATTACTTATGCTATTTTTCCTTAATGTGGCTTCTTTTAACATCTCAAAAGTGGACTTCTCTTTTGCCGGTTGATCCAAGGAATACAGTAATGTGTCTATTGCCTGTTGATTTGATTTATTGGTTTCATTTCCTAATCATTTTTCTGCTGATCTTGGGGATGTAGTATGTGACTCTTTGCATGTTTGTAATCCATAAACGTCTGATTTGGATTATCTGAGATACGTCACCCCGACAGATTAGCGAAAAACAAATACATGGATTGGCTGTGATGAATCTCTTTTCTTATGAATAATATTTCACCATGTCTTGTGCTTGTTGAACAGAGCTAGCGACAAGTGCCAAAAAGAAAAAAGAAAGACAATTAACGGCGATGATTTGTTATGGGCAATGGCAACTTTAGGTTTTGAGGACTATATTGTTCCATTGAAGGCCTATTTAGCTAGGTACAGAGAGGTACTGAAAGTTATCCTCATGTTCTGGTTGATTGGCTCTTATGTTGCGAGGAATGCCTTGTTATATCTGATTATCAGCCTTTAATTTTTCATTGGTTTTATGTATAAAGTGGCAATGGTATTTTATTTTAGCAAATCTGGCATACAAGTAACTAAATTAATGTTTTAAATTCATTATCGGCATTCAGTTGTGCATGTGTAATGGCAGCTAACAACAATGAAAAGTATCTCTAATTATTCACAATGAGCATCGTTACAATGTGTTACTATTAAACTTAAAGAACCATTATTGTGGAAAATTCATATTTTTCATTTTTGATATATGTATTGTAAGCAACATTTTACATTAGCACTTGTATTAGTTTTTTGGTGTGGAAAGTGTGCCAAAAAAAAA